GAGGGAAGGACAGTTGGTGGGATGGGACCTTGTACCAAATGGAGGCCTTAGGCTCCAATCCACCCCGGGGCCATCAGAACCCTCTGTGGGTATCACAATTTTAAGAGAAAGAAATTTCTGGGAGAAATATTTGTGGGACACGGAGAGGTTTCCCTTGGAGGAGGGAAATTTCTGACCATGACACCTCATACCTAGGGGGTATCCATGGCTTTGAGAGAAGAATGGGGAGCAGAGAAGGGAAACACTGGAGAAATAGATTTCAGCTGAAAGGAAGGAGGGACTTCTGAACAGGCAGAGGGACCCACAGACCCTCAGGATGCCCCAGCGCCATCACAGAAAATGTGTAAGTGGGGCTGGCAACTCCCCATTGGAGAGCTGAAGAAAAGATTTCCACCTCAAGGAGGGGCCCGGAGCTGGCTCGAAAGGCATCCCAGCTCCATGACCCTGTGACTCTAGGAATCAGTGTGAGTCCATGCCATTGAACTTCTGTACCTAGTGGTTCTATTCTGTTCTGACTCCACCATCGAAGACCCTGTGAGCTGAGGCTGACAATGCCACCCACTGTCCTAAGTTTCCTCTCCCCACTTAACTCCTTAGCACACTCCATTTAGGGAGTATTGTTAGCCCGATTAGGAGCCCAGGTGGCACAATGGTGAAGCACTCAGCTGTCTGAACCCACCAGCCACTCTGGGGGAAAGATGTGGCAGTCTGCTTCTGTCCAGATTACAGCCTTGGAAACCCTATGGGGAAGTTCTAGTCTGTCACATAGCATCACTGAGTCCAAATCAACTCCATGACAATGTGTTTGGTTTTTTTGGTTACCCAATTTCACAGATAGGGAGCTCTGGTGGCATAGTAGATAAGGTCTCTGGCTAATAATCAGGTCAGCAGTTCAAACCCACAGGCTGCTCCAAGGAAGGAAGATGGGGCGATCTACTTCCATAAAGATTTACAGCCTCGGAAACCCAATGGGGGTCGCTATGAGTCGAAATTGACTCGATGGCAGTGAGTTTGGGTTTTTGTTTGTTTATTTCACAGATAGGGTAACTGAGGCTCTGAGAGGCTTGCCCAGAGTCAGAACTAGAAAACCTCACCACCTGGGCTTGAAAGCAGGACTGTCAGAGCCCAAAGCCATCCTGCCTCAGCCAGTCTGATTCTGATATCCTGTGGTCCCAAGGCTCTCTATTTGTGGCCTGAAACCGAGTTCTTCCCCTGGGCGAACCACAGCCCCCACCCCACATCACCACAGTCAGCTCTGTGGTTTCCCAAATACTCTCAACCAGCAATAGCTTTAACCGTAATGGCTCCCACGAGGGGTCACCCATCGATTTTCCCTGCTTAGTTCTCAAACTCTTTTTTTAAAAAGGTGGAGGAGGCCCAGGTGGGAACAAGGCTGCCCCTCCCCTAACGGCCTCCACGTCGACTCACACTCTGGCCACAGCACATCATTTCAGCTTAATTTTATTTCCTCTTATAAATGGGCACAGCACGGGAAGTGTTAAAAAATAATAAAAAAACAAAACAAAATAAAAACAGTTCTTTCACAAGGCAGGGACAGGTGAGTGCCCACTGCGGGGCGGCGCCTTGGTCTTTTTCCTCCTCTTTTTCTTATTTAAAGTTTTGGCCATGAACTCGGGACAGGTATGGTTAATAAACAGGTTATGGGGGAGAGCAAGGTCAGGGAAGGCCCGCAGGAGAGAAGGACAAACTCCCACCCTCCCCGGGCTGGGTTCTGGAGGGCTCTGTACAGAAGGGATGTGCCAGGGGGAGGGACACTCTTCAGGGGGCTCTCTGGAGCCTCGCTGCCTATGAAAAGTATTTACATGCATTCGCCAAGACGGGCCCAGTGCATCGAAGAGCCATGTTGATACCCGGGGATGCTGCGGCCATCAGCCCTCAGAGGGCGACTCTGGGCCCAGTCTCAGCGTCTCTGTAAATCTGTACACAGTTTGTGGGCTCCTTTTTACAGACAGGAGGCCTGGGAAGCCAGTCCAGGGGTGTGGCTGACAGGGGAAGAAATCCAGCCAAGCCCTGGGGAGGCACCACTCCTGTGCCCAAGGGCCCCCACCTGGAGGCCTGGACAGTTGAGCTTGCCAACCCCAGGGGGTCTGGTCTGAGCACCCAAGCCCCTGCCCATGGGTGTCCTGACCCAGCTCTGCTTGTCACCAGATGCCTCCAGCACTCAAACCTTTCAGGACTCTGAGACCTCACACCTCCAGCCTCCAGGCCCTTGGGCTCTTGAAATCCCAGCCAAGGGATGGAGTGGCCACCCCCAAGTCCTAGAACAGCTCAACCCCCATTCCTCTGGGGGGCAGCCTGCCTCATACTCAGGCAGCTAAGGCTCCAGAGGTTCTCAGGCCACATAGCTCCCTCTCATTCGGAATCCACGCTGCTCCCAGGAAATGCCAGGCACTGCTTACGCCTTCCCTGGGAGTACCAGGGCTCTGGATCTATTTAGGCAGGCTCTGCCCACCTCACACCACAGCTGGCACATGAGGGCCCTGTGCCCACACTGCACCTTGGAGAGCTCAAGCTCGTCCTCTCTACCACTCTCTTGGATGCCTTGTCCAAATTGGGCTGGATAGGCTACACTGAACTTCATAGGAAAAAAGCCTTGACATTTGTTTTAGGTCCAGGGCTCCATGAACAAGGCCCTTGGCCTATTTTCTCAAGTGCTAAGGACACAGAGAAGAAATGCCAGTGCCAGGAGGCAATGCCCCAAATCCCACATTACAACCCAGACTTCAGGCCACTCCATGACCACTTGGGCCAGTTTAAACTGGCCCCAGCTTGTCCCTCCTGTGCTGGGCTCCACCTTCACCAGGGGCTCCTAGCCCTGTGCAAGGGCTGCTCCCAGTTCCAGCCTCCTCTGGGGCTAGGATGCCCTAGGCTTCTGCTGGGTGTCCATGTCCTTCCTCCTCCATGCTCCCTGGTTTCTCAGCCTCGGCCTGCCTAGGCCTTATCACCAGAGCTGCTGTCCTCAAGACACCAGCCCACCCAGGAAGCAGGGCAGAGGCACTCTAGGACTTTGGGTCTCCTCTGCTCATTCCCTCAGCCCTTCTGCTCCAGGGGTGACCATGGCCAGGTCACCGCCTACAGATGTCCTGGGCCCCAGGATGCCTTCCCCCCAACCTACTTCCCTAAGGCCGAGTTCCACACAAGCCTCCAGGCCCTGCCAAGAGGAGCTTTGAGGTCCAGGAGGGAGCCCAGCCTGGGAGTAGGAGCCTGGAGAAAACAGGCTTGGTTGGGGGGCCCTCCCTGGAATCCTGCCTTCCCTATACCTCAGGCACCTCCTACCCTCACCCTGCAGATATCTGCTTCCAGGGAGTTCTGAAAAGGGAACAGAAATAAAACCTGGGTTCCTGACATGGGTCTAGTTGGGGAGTGGGAGTGGGTTTAGGTGTGAGCACCGGCCAATCACAACCCACCCCACATCCCTTTGGCTCCAAGTGCCCCACTGAGCACACCCTCCCTGAAGGAGGACATGACCCTACATTTACAAGATCTACAGAAATGATTCCACTTGTGAGGACAACACAGAGGGGAGGCAAGCTGGGGGCTATGACACCCCCAGCAACACCTGCTTTGATGTCTCAAACCTCTGTCCTTGGGGCTTGGGGCAGCTCGTCTGAGATGGGCAGTTTCTAGCTGTGGGCCCATTCCGCTGCAACCAGAACTCCTGGGTTGTATGGCCCAATGGGTGGGCAGGTGTCCACGAGTAGGGCAGAGATTGGCCCAGCGAGGCCAAGAGCAGAGGGTATAGAGGGGCCGGGTGGCAGGGCCGGCCCGCACAGGCACTTTGGAGACTTGGTGTTCTGGGAGGCAGGGTTGGCCCCAAGCTCAGAGCAGAGGGAGGCAGGGAGACCAGAAGCCAGACCACATGCCTCCCTACCTGGGGCTGTTGTCCTGGGAGGCCCAAGCACCCTCCACAACCTGGGACTGAGTCTAAGAACCAAGCCTACCCTGCCTCAGCCTTGGAGAAGCCCCAAGGCTCCCAGCCAGTGGGGGGGGGGGGGCTGGCCCCAAATGTCCCTCTTTGTAGGCTACAACGGGGAAGGAAGCAGAAAGAAATGAGGCCAGGCCCAGTCCAGTGTGCAATGCCCTAAGGGGGCTTCTGGCAACTTCTCCCCACACCAGGCTTTATTCTGGGAAGGGCAAGGACCCACTGTCTTCCTGCAGTGTGGGAGTGGGCTGTGTAGGGCGAGCGTGCATCCATGTAGGACTGTGTCCATCACGGGTCAGGTCAGTGGCAATGTAGTTGGTGTGAGTGCCATGGTGTGGAAGTGAGTGTGACAGGGCAACTTGGGGTGACCCAATATGGGCTGATTGTTCCAGCCTGATTCTACCCTCCCCATGAGCCTGAAAGCCAGAGACGAGGTGTGTGGAGCCACAGTGTGAGTGTACAAGAAAGGGAGGACAGACAGAGCAACCACACTGTCACTCTGACTGGTGACCTGTATTGTTGTGATTGTTTGGGAGTGCATAAGGAATGCATGAGAATCTTCGGAAGAATGTGTGTGAGAGATTGGTTGGGAGGTCAGGATTGTGTGTGATGTTGCCATTGCGTGCTTTTGTCTTATTGCAACTGTGTGACAATATGTGACAGTGTGGGAGATGACTACACGAAGTCCTGTAGCAAGAGGGACGTCAGGGCAGCCCCTCCTCACCAGTGGCTGCTCAGGTACCCTCAGGAAGCCATATCTTCAGGGGAAAACTCAGAAGGGGGTGAGCTTGTGGGAACATGTATATAGGGCTGGGGGGCAACCCCATGACCCCAGAGAGGCCAGGACAGAACAGGTTAGGGACAAGGGATACCCTCTCACCTAGGCAGAGAGGAGACTGGGACAAGAGCCATGTCCAGGTGATTTCAAGGGCTGAGTTTGCCAAATGCTTGTTTTGGAAACTAGCCTGAGAGAGCTCTGCTCCAATAAGGAGCCTGCAGGCCCACCTCAAGCCCTACCCTTTTTCCCACCAGCCAACCAGGAGCTTCCTTCCTCCTGTCCAGCTGATTTGAAGTCCTGAGCCCAGGGCCAGTAGGGACAGGAGATGAGCTTGTGAGGGCACAGTATGGGGCAGATGGCAGTGTCTCCCACCCCTTGAGGAAGAGCTGTGTGAGGCTGGCAGCCTGCGCAGGCCTTAGGAGAGAGGGCAGACAAGAACTGGGGCCAGGTCTCTTCCTGGGCCCAGTCCCAGGCCTGGGCTAGTGAGGCCAGGTAGGGACTGGGCGGAGGGTGGTGCTGAGGCTGCAGGCAGGCACTGCGGCTCCACTAGGCGTAGAACTCCTCCTGCTTGTCAGGCTTCTGGTACGTGACGCTTGCCTGCTTGGGCTCCTCCAGCGTGTAGCTACCCTCGTCCTTCTTCTTCATGCGGTAGATGAGCAGTGTGACCAGGAAGGCGGCGAAGAGGGCACCCACCACCCCGCCCACAATCACGGCTGTAGAGAGAGAGAGAAAGGAGAGAGGTCAAGAACCAGAGGCAGGTGGGACAGGGTTAGAGCCTTGGGACTGGTGAGGGGTCTGGGGGTGGGGTAAGGCTGGGGCGGGGCTGGGGGTTCCACATCTGAGATGTGTTGTAGTGAAGATGGGGTCAATACTAATACTGCTAGCACCGACTCCCACTGACACACCTTATTGTGTGTCTGGCTCCCTTCCAGGTGCCTGACACACATTAACTCACTGAATCCTACTAACAGTCCTGGGAGGATGCTATGATCTTCATCAAACGTAAGATCCCTCAGTCATAAGATGCACCATTATTTTATAGGGAGCTCTGGTAGCATAGTGCCTAAGGCACTTGACTCCTAACCAGAAGGCTGGTGGTTCAAACCCACCAGCCACTCCTCAGAAAGAAGACTAGGAAATCTACTTCCGTAGAGATACTGCCTCGGAAACCCAAGGAGGGATTGCTATCAGTCAAACTGACTCCACAACAAGGAGTTTGTTTTTTTTTTTCCCCTAGGAAATAAAAAATACTGCCGGTTAAAACTTTATTTATTTATTTTTTTGGTGTTGTTGAGTCTATTGTGACTCATAACGACTCCATGTTATGGAACTGTCCCATATGGGGTTTTCTGGGCCGTAATCTTTACGGAAGCCAATCACCAGGTCTTTCTCCTGCAGGGCTGCTAGGTGGGTTCAAACCTCGAACCTTTTGGTCCACATTCACATGCTTAACTGTTGTGCCATCAGGGCTCCTTTAATTAAACAATGACACATCCCAATTACAGAAGAATTGATACATGAACAGGCATGCAACTCAGAACTGACTAAGTGCAGAATGATTGCACCCATTCTACAGATGAGGAAAGGACACTGAGAAAGGTGAAGTACCTTGCCCAAGGTCACACTGTTCATTACTGGAGAGCCAGGATTTGGACCAAGAGTTTGGAATTGGGGAGTTGTGGCCAGGGGCTGGGGCAAGTCAAGCCAAAGGATGGGGTCAGAGATTAGGATCCAAGGGGTGAGGTCCAAGGGGGGAATCACTGAGCATGGCTCAGGGGAGCAGGGCCAGAGGGGACTGAAGAAAGTACTGGAGGTAGAGATGAAGTCAGGGTCACAGCCTGGGATGTAAGAGGTCAGGAATGAATCAGACGTCAGGGCTGGGGGACTGGGTCCTTAGCCTTCTCTGCCTACCTGGCTCCTAGGAAACCTACTCCCTGATCCCCCTCCTGGGTGCCTCCCAGCCAGCTGCCTCCGTCTGGGCTCCTCTTTGGCCCAAACCCCAAAGCCTCACCTACGAGCACCTCCTTCCGCTCCAGGATGCTCTTCTGAGGCAGCTGTGCAGCCGAGCTGCCCGAGTCGATGGCATTGTCCAGGAGGCCAGGGCCTGGGCGGGCACCTTTGGGCAGCACTCCAGGTGGAGGTGAGGGCTTGGTCACAGGCCCTCCCACAGCCACCACCTCATTGGCTGTGTCTGGCTGCGTGGTCTCTTCCTCTGGCAGCTCAAAGTCCCCGCTGGGCCCCCCGCTCACAGGCACCTCTGGCTCAGCCCGGATTGTGGTCAGAAAGGAATCTGGAGTGGGGGTCTGCAGAGAAGGTGGTATGAGCTCGCAAGCCAGGCCCCAGTATCCCCTGCTATAGGTAGATCCCCATCCCCACACACACAAGCCCATGACCACCACTCTGCCCCCTTACTAAGCATTTATTATGTGCTAAGCACTGTACAAAGTACCTTACATGTATTTTACTCTCACAACATCCCCCTAAAGGCAGTATTATTACCCCCAATTTACAGAGCAGGAAATAGGCTCAAAGAGGTTAAATGACTTGCCTAAGGTCACTCAGCTAGCAAATGATAGAAGCAGAACTACAACCCAGGTGTATCCAATTCCACACTCTTGAGTGTAGAACCTACAGGTAATACTATGTTGCCTCTTTTCTCACCTTGGCCACATCCTGTCCCCATCCATTCCCATCACTTCCCCCACTGGTTGCCTTACTAACAATCCTTTGGGGGATTCCTACCAAAGGGCCATTTGGGGAATGCTGGGTACAGCTGTTATTTACTTGGATCTGGTCCCTGGTCCCCATGCCTGGGGTAGAGGTTGAGTCCCTTAGCCTGGAGGTCCATCCAAGAGCACAGCCCACAGAGTATGATGCCCCGTGGGACACAGGTGTCCAGGGAACCAGCCCAGCGACCACAACTCCTGATGGGAATCATGAGACCAAAACAGAGGCAATGGAGACCATTGGGGCTGGGTGTGGCCACTTCCTAGGTGGACGTGGAGAGGCTGAGCCCGGTGTCTGAACAGTACACAGTGGCTAGACCGGCTGCCTGGACTCTGCACGCCAGCCCACTCGGGCTCCGTGCCCTGTCATTGTTCCTCCTTCCTGCTTGACCAAGTCTGTGAAAACAACAGACTACCCAGCTGCTCAAAGGAGCCAGGCGAAGGGGCTCATGTCGTGCTGTGGCCCAAGAGCTAAGGGACTGGCCGAGGAGCTGGAGGGGGCTGACGCTGACCCTGGAGCAGCTCCCAATGTGAGGGCCTCCCTCAGCGAGACCAGCTACAAGGGGCTTTTGGGCCCTCTCTCCTTGCATAGCACACCTCACAAATGCAGACTCCGTTTCCCATTTCTTTGATATCACTCATCCCCAGCATTCTTAACCATGTTCATTCTCTTCTCTTCAATCCCAGCCCCATATATAAACCAAGAAAACAAAACAAAACCCACTGCCATTGAGTCAATTCTGACTCACCACAACCCCCACTGGGTTTCCAAGGCTGTAAATCTTTACAGAAGTAGACTGCCTCATCTTCCTCCTGCAGAGCAGCTGGTGGGTTTGAACTGCTGACCTTCTGGTTAGCAGCCAAATGTCTTACCCACTAAGCCACCAGAGCTCATATATAAACAGCCTCCAACACACACACACATACACACACAGACACAAACTCACATGATCCAGCCCCAGAAGAGCTCTGAGCCGGCTGCTGGGGAGTCACAACTGGCTGTGCAGCCCTGGGAACAGTTTCACCATCCTGTACTGCCCCAACTATAAAATGAGTCCCCTCCCCACAGGGTGGCTGTGAGGACTAAGAAGGTAGCACAGGTAGTGTACTGCGCTACACCAGGCACACAGGACACACCACAAATGTGAACAAAAACTCTTCTTTCAAACAGCCTCGCTGTTAATCACCCTCAGACTAAGGATGATGATGATAACAGTAATAGCAGGAAGCACAACAACAGCTAAGACTTAAGTTTCTTTATGATTACCAGCCATCGTTCTAAGCACTTTGGATATATTAATAAATTTAATTCTCACGACACTATGATTTCTGGTCTATTCTTTCCTTCTTTCACAGATAAGAAAGCAGAGGTCTAGAAAGGATCTGTGTGCGGGAGTTCACGTGGCTAAAAAGTGGCAGGGGAAGAGTTCCAATTCTGCCTGCTCCCTGAGTCTGCTATGAACCAGAATACAGAAGCCCACACCACCCTTACACCAACACACACACACTCGTTTAATTCCTTCCCTATATCTTGCCCCAACATCCTAAAAACCACCACCCTGCCCCCAGATTTCTGTCTCCTCAGTCCCGATCCAGGCCTCTTTCCATCCCCATCCATCTCAATCTCCACCCGAATCCTCTGTCCACATCCCCCTCAGGCCCCGTCCCTCTCCAGTCTGGTTCATCTCCACACCCTCCTGGTCCTTAATCTGCCAGCCCCATCCTTCCTCCTCAGGCCCTCACCCATCCTCCTTTGCTCTCGCTCCTCCTCTCCCAACTCCTCACCTGAGCTACATCCGTGGGTTCAGGGGCAATGGTCCCCAGGGGCAGGGTGCTCTTCTTGGGGACATCAGACTCTTGGGTGGTCGTTGGTCTGGGAAGGGCTCTTGGCCTGGAGGTAGCTGTGCTGACCAGCCTGGGCGTTGGAGCCTCTGTGTCCAAGACAGCCATGGTGGTAGGAGGTGATGGTGCCGCTGGGGTGGTGGCCTGGGCTGTGGCTGCTGTGGTCAGTGGAAGTGGCAGAAGTCTTCGTACACCGGTGGTCCTTACAACAGCAGTGGTAGCCGTGGAAGGAAGTGCTGCAGGAGTGCTGGGGGCAGCAATGGCCACCGTGGCAGGCACGGTGGCCACTGTGGGGGCCCCTGTAGTCGTGGCAGCAGTGGTAGCCATGGTAGTGGCGATGGTGGTGGCTCTCTGGCTAGGCTCTCCCAGGACCTCTGTCACCACCAGCATGCTGGTAGCTGGCTCTGGGGTGGGGTGCTCAGAGGGGAGCTCTTCAAATGGGGTGCCCACCGGCTGGATGTCCGTGGTGGGCAGCACAGCGGGCGTGGTGGACACTGCCAGGGCCATGTCCGGGCTGAACCGCATGGCTGTCTCAATGCCTGACTCCTGCTCAAAGTCTGAGGGGTAGGAGAGAGGGAGAGAACTAGGGAGCTGCGAGATCATGAGGGTCATGAGGAACCCATGTAAGCAATGGCCACCAAGATTGGGGGCTCCCAATCCCCTCTCTTTGCCCAAATTCCCCCAGGACAAGATGACAGAAGGGAGGAAGGCAGAGCTGGACCAAAGGTTACCATCTAGCTAGTGAATGTTCCCCCAGTGCCTCTCTGCCTAGCCAAAAGTTCTTCCAGGGACCACCTCTTCCAGGAAGCCTTCCCTAACTATTCCAGCCCACCCAGCCTAGAGCATCTATCAAGTCAGTCCAGCCACAGTAACTGAGTCCTACTGGGTACAAAGTTCATTGAGGGATAAAGCAGGGCAGAGAGCAGCATTCTGGGGAGAGAGTCAAACCCAGGTATACCCTACCACAAACACAAGGTCGTGGGTTCACTAAGGGCTCCCTCAGAGGCACAGGCAGAGGGCAGTGGGAGGGCAGTGGGGCAGGGCAATGCTTGAGCAATCTGACTCAAAGCCAGGAAAAGTGAAGGGCTTGAGAGGAAATGAGAAAGACTGAGGGAGACCACAGTCAACTCCTGGGGGTCTGAACCAGGAAGAGTAGGGGTATGGGAGGAGCCAGGGAGCCATCCCATCAGACACCACCCTGCTTGCCCCGCCCCTCCCCCCAATCTCAGCCCCCTCCTCTTTTTGCCACCATTTTTAGAGTTCTGTGCCAGACCCTGTTTTATCTCAAACCCTCATAGTGCAGAGAGAAAGGTATACTTATTTTCACTTACAGAGAAAAATACACACACTCAAAGAGGAGAAGTGGCTTGTCAAAGGACATACAGCTGTTTAGTAACAAAGCTGGGATTAGAACTCATGCCCTTTCTCATAGTTGCTCTAACCCTGCCTCTTGGCCACAGCTGATTGGATCGAATGGGGCACCCGACCCAAGAAGAGCCAATCAAATTGCCTCTGCTGAGGAGCTGCCATCGCAACTAAAACCAAATTTATTCCCTACCAATCAACTCCCACTCACAGAGACCCTGTAGGACAGAGAGCAGAACTTCCCCACAGTTTCCAAGGCTGAAATCTTTACAGAAGGCGACTGCCACATCTTTCTCCCACGAAGCTTCTGGTGGGTTTGGCTCATGTTAGCAGCCCAGCGATGAACCGCTGTGCCACCAGGGCTCCTGAGGAGTGCTAAATTCCTCCCAATGATTGGAAAAGTAATTTGAAAGCTGGGTTGGGGAGGAGTGGCTCTGTGTCCCCACCGAAACCAGAAGGCTGAGATAGCAAGGCTACAGAGAGGTCATGAGGCGGTGGAGAGCTGGGAGTCCTGGTTCTGGTACCCAGGGAGGGCCACCTGCCCTTCTGGTTCCTGAGGTCCGTGAAGATCCCTCCCTGGCCTCCCTACATATAATAAGCTTCCCCATATGGCTTTGGAGGGAGCTCTGGTAGCATAGTGGCTAAGACACTTGCCTGCTAACCAGACGGCTGGCGGTTCAAACCCACCAGCCACTCCTCGGAAGGAAGGTTGGGCAATCCTACTTCCGTAGTGATACTGCCTCAGAAACCCAAGGAGGGGTCGCTATGAGTTGGGGCCGACTTGACGGCACATAACAACAACAACAACAACATATGGCTTTAAGTGAGCTGCTGAGTGGTTTCTGTTCCTTGCCAGCAAATCTGCGGGTGAGGCACTAGGTACAGACTGCTCACTGCCCCAGACAGGGAGAGAGAGTACTTACAGCCCGAGCCTGACCCCGAGTACAGGTCATCCAGTTCATCATCAGGGAAGGAGTCATCGTCCCCGGAGCCCTCGAGGTCCACAGGCCTCTCAAAGTTCTCACTGCGCCAGCGCTGAGCCTGAGGAGGAGAGAGATGGGTGGGGCTGGTACCTGAGGGCAGCAGGCTGGACCGGCCCAGAGGGGCAAGACACCTGGGCCTGGGCCTCCAAGTGGGCAGCAGAGAGCTGCAGGTGGGCCTGATACCTCTCTCCACCCACTCAAGAGCTACAGCCCCATCTTCCTCTTGACTACCACCACTGAGAGCCCAGGTTATTCCCCCACCCCCTGACTGTAACCAGTTGGTAGCCGGGATAGTGTTAAGAGCACAGACTGGGGTTGGAATGCTAGGATTTGCATCCATCATTTAAATGTGTGACCTACAGCAAATTACTTGATATCTCCATACCTTCCTTTACTCATTTATAAAACAAGCTAATAGTAGCTATGAGCTGATAGGGCTGTGAGCTTTCAGTGTGCTGATGCCCGTGGAGTGCTAGGTGCAGCCTTGGCTCACAAAGGTACTTGGTACAGGTTACCTATTACTCTCTTTATGGTCAGTAACCACCCACCCCTACTCATAAAGCATCTTTCACAGACAAGATGCACAGGTAGGAGTCCTCAAGCTGGGGGTGGGGCTGTGTGAAGGTCATGAGTCCCATGTGACAGGTGAGAGAACTAAGGCCCAGCTGCCCAAGGTCACCAGAGAGCACGTGATGTGCCTGAGATCCAGACTTTGCTTGGTACTCACGTCTCCCACCTCAAAACCCCAACTAGCACCGTCAGATGGACACGGGTGTTGGGGGAATTGGGGGCTCTGGAAGAGAAGTACCTTGGGTGGATAGGGGGGATGGAGAAGGAAGTGCAGGCTCTACCCTGGCCCTTGGTCTACCCCCAAACAAGAAATCATCCCCCTCCCCCCACCCACTCCTGAAGTATCTCAATGCCCCAGAATCAGCTCAGGACCTGACTACTACTTCCATGCCTGCCAGGAGGGTTGCTGGGGGTCAGCAGAGGTGAGAGGGGCTTCTCCCAGGGTCCAGCTCTTCAGGCCCAAGAATCATCACTCCATCATCACTCCCCCCTCAACCCTGGGGTTGGAGCCACTGCCAATGACTTCAAAGGCAGGGATGCAAACCACCTAAGAGGGGCAGGCATGGCCCTGCTCCCTGGCTCTCCCCTCAACATCTCATCACACTTCTACCCTGGTTCCAGACTGAGCCCAGCTCTGGTCCCTGCCACCTAAGGTGAATTTAGCTCCTGGTGCTGGGATATGAAGGACATGGCATTTGAGTCTTAAATGAAATAAAGAGAGAAGGGCATCTCAGATGGAGGAAACAGAATAATCAAAGGTTCTGAGGTGGGGAAGTGCAGCCTGTGCTTGCAGAGCTGACCCTGCACCCCGCACCCCTGCACACTTGATTCCAGCCACCAAGCTCCCTTCTGTTGTAGAACATGCCTGGTTTTTCCTGCCTCCTTCACTTATGCTGTTCCCTCTGCCTAGAACACCCTTCCTGTCCATCCCCTCATGTCCCAACTGTTTTGCCAACTAACTCTGGCTCCCATGTCACTTCTTGGGAGAAGCCCTCCTACCCTGACCATTCAGAGCATCCTGAGCTCCTGGATCCATGGCATTTGTCACTATTTGGGAGCTGTGGCTGGTTGGTTCTGTTCGTGACTATGTCCATCCCCCCTAAACCATACACTTGACAAAGGTAAGGGCAGTGTCTAGAGCCCAGCAAGGTGCCTGGCATTTAGTAAGCATTCAAAAACTATTTTAAGGAATGATCTTAGGGGTAGGGGTAGGAAGACGTGACTGATTCATGGGGTGAGGTAGAACAGGGGTGGCTGAAGTGTTGGTTGGGAAAGTCAGCTGGGCCCCATCACAGAAGGCTTGCAGTGTTCGGCTGAAGACTTGATCTTAGAAACTGGTCATTTTTAATGCTGGCTGTGTAGCAGAGTTCTGTGAAAGTTGAACCCGATGATTCAGTAGGTCTGTGGGTAGAGTCTGCACATCTGCACTGATGAGAAGTCTCTCACAGGGAGCAGGCAGTCATAGAAGGTGTGTGAGCAGGAGAGGGGCTGGATTGGCTCTATATTCTGTGCTCAGACCAACACACCCCCACCACTGATGCCCCCCCCCCCCAGAGTCTATACAGAGCTGGAGAAAGGCTGGTGCAGAATTTCCATCCTGGCTTCCGGCCCCCAGCCTAGACCACCTGCTCCAAAGCCCTACCCAGCTCAGCCAGGGCAGGAAGCCAGGGCAGGAGGCCAGGAGATACCCACCACCACCAACACACACACACATACACACAGTCTCCAAGTAATGAATTAATCAGTATTTACTTGCTACCAGTGAGTCATGGAGTGGAACAATTAGTTTAATTGCTCCCATGACTAATTGCTGGGTCTTCCTCCTTTTTAGACATTCCAGGAGCTCTGAGCAGCTATCGTCCAACTTCCCCCACCTCCTGTCTCTGTCCCCACTGCCCAGAACAAATCCCCAGGATCGGGAGGAGGGGGGACCAGAGCCTCCCCTCACTGCCAGCCTCCACCACCTGTGCTAGCGAGCCACAATGGAGTCGCTTGGCGATACATTGCTCCTGTCCCTCTAGTTCTTAGACAAGCAGCCTGAAGCCAGAGACTTGTGGCTCCTGCTCAGGGCCACACACCAGGATGGAACAGAGCAGGCAACAGGGCTCAAGCCCAGCTTCTGAGTGGGGCATCCTCACAGCCCACCCGTCCTTCCAGCAAGGCAGGGAGTGGCTCTGAGACTTTTAGCTCAGAGGATTCTAAGAGGTCTGTGGTCCTTGGGATTCTTCAAACAAGGGTAAAAATGAGGACCAAATTAGGCAGTCCATGTGATTTCTCAGTGACCAGTGCCATGTACCAGCCCCAAATACCCTGCTCCCGGAAAGGCCTGCACAAATCCAAAGACCGCCCCCAAAGGCACCCAGATCCTTGAAATGACACAACCAGAGACATAGAGAGAACACACCCACCCCAGACACACCCTGATACACACTCCCCTAAAGACAGCCACAGAGAGACACAGTCCCCCTTGGTGCAAACAGGCACATGCATGAGGGCTGAAGGGCTGGGACGGGGTGCAGGAGACGACATACTGTGCAGCTCTGAGGCTCAGAGACAAGCATGGAGCCTCCTGTGAATCCATCAGCCTCCACTCAGGTAGCTCTCACCTAGATACTATTCATCCCTAGCTCAGTAGCCATCGACATGACAACCGTTACCATGACGACCATCTCCTCCATGCTAAGGACCAGGAGCTCCAGCTCCCCACAGAGATGGGGGAAGGCAGGAGAGGGAGAGATCATGGAGGAAGAGAGGAACAGAAGCTGACAGGGAGAGGGGGAAGGCAGCGACGTGGGAAGCAGAGGTCAGAGGGGGGTAGGGGGCAGAGGGGCAGAGGGGGAGACAGGAAGGGAGAGGTAGAGGAGAGACTCTGAAAGAGAGAGAGAAAGAGAGAGAGAGAGAGAGGGGGAGAGAAGGCGTGAGTGGGAGGCAGAGGGAGAGAATTCTCTCACATCTTAATTTAGCCTCATGCTGATCAGACAAAGCTGGGGAAGGGGCCACCTCAGTGATTTTCCAAACCTGCATCCAAGGGAACATTCTTTCCGAATAATAACAATCTCCAGATGGGAGGCAGGGAGTGGCCAGTAACCCAGTCACCTCTGAGCTCGCCCTGGAAAGCTCAGTGGGGACTAATGCTGGCAGCACCTGGGACCTGCCAGACCCTGGGGTGCCATCTCACTGAGTTCCCCAAGCTCAGCCTCTCCTTGGGCCTGCTGGGAGTCTCAGGCTGGGGAGCTCCTGTAGGACCACTACAGGGGTGCTCGTAGCTGCTGCTCCCAGGGGACACAGAGAAGAGGGGAGAGAAATGGGGGGCAGGGAGGGACAGAGCTGCAGGCAGCAGGGAAAGCCTCAGAAGTCACAGAATGCCAGAGCAGGAAGGTGACAAACAGCCTTTGACCCCCAAACGACCTCTTAACTTTGCATAATTCCATGCATAATTTGCATAATTATCCATGCAATCCCCTTAAAGAAGAACTAAATCCAAATGCCCCAGAACCCTGGCAGTCCTCCCTGACTCTCACTGCCCTCCCCTCTCCAGGTAAGTGCACACCCTCATCTGTCTGATACACACACACACACCCCACACCTACACACACAACTAACAGGCAATACAGCCCAATATCCTCATGCACACATAACACATCCCAGCCAACATGCAGCCACACCCTACAAAAACACACACCTACACGGTACCCCTGCACACGTACACACACAAACAATTACAAGCAACACTTACCAACCCCAACCTGTATATGCACTAAGCTTACACAACACAACACAGCCAGCACACATCACACATACACCTACTTACTACACCCCTGCCATGCACACTTGGCCACACAACTGCATTTCTGATCCCTTCCATCACCTAATACACCCCATGCAAACCTCAGGAAATCTCACAACTACATGCTTAACACACATACCTCACGTGAGGCACACAGACCCGCCCTGCCAGAGTATGCTCACATGACACTTCTGTACATTCCCCACCTGTAGGTACTCAGCCACAAATCTCACGGCTTGTATACAATTGCCCGCTCAAATCTCCACACCCTCCACCCTCAGGCGGTGAGGCGCTGCAGAGGCACCTGAACTTCTGCCTCCTGCCATCGCCAATCACAGGGGGCAGACACCCAACTCAATACCCCCCCCATAAACAGCCAGTGAGGTCTGTGTTTGGGGCCCCAGGGGAACTGCCGAGAGCCCTCTGCCCAGCTGCTGAGGGCCTGCCTGGGCAGGCTCTGGAAGCACTTCATCTTCATTACTTCCTTTCATCCCCACAATCCCCCAGGGCTTTCATGATACAGACATTAAGGCTGGGGTTTGGGTAGAACTGGGACGAGAGCATGAGTCCTCGGTTTCATTAGCCCTTGCACTCCATTGCAGGGCCACCCCCAGATCCACTGTTCATCTAGGGTCCCCACCCCATCCCTCACCCCCTGCACCACCTCAGCTTAGGAATATCCCCAGCCATGCACACACCCCAATGTCATGCCCAACATATACACTCAGCACACTGCAAGCACACCGCATGCTCCCAACACCCTCTCATGGTCCTCCACACGCTCCCACCTACACATCCCTAAATAGGCCCCCCATCTCATACACACACCCCACTCTCAGATACCCACCACCAGGCCCTAATACCTGCACCCCCCAGCTCCCTCCATGCGCGCGCACACACGCGCACACACACACACACACATGGACTATAGGGTACCCTCCTACACTTTCCCTCTCAGATACATGGAAGTACACACACAATACCAGGGTGATGTGGCACCCTTCCCAATGGACTGATATCTCACTCCCATTTTTTCTCACAGTGCCCCTCACCACCACTCTGATCTAAGCAGACCCACACTCTCACCCCACAGTGGCACCTCAGGCTCCCAGTCCAGATAGGATCAGGCCCAACAGTATCCAGAGGGTCTCCCTCATTCACCACCCACCCTCACCCTACCCCCTCCATAAAGATTTAAAACAAGCAGGCACTGTTTCCCAGGCTGCCCTCTTCCCTCCCTGGCCCCCTCCCCAAATTCGATGAGTGCCATGGAAGTGGCCTCAGTCCAGAGATCCCTTCCATCATCACCCTCATCACTTACTCTGATAATGTGGGGTGGGGTGTTCAGGGAGAAAGCCAGGGCATCTGCCTCCTACCCCCAACCTACTTCTGAGCCCACTGGAGAAGTCTGGGGTCTCTCATGCACAAAGCCTACCACCTTCCACTCGCCATCATAAGCCTTCCCGGGGAAACAGGATAGCACAGGGGTTCAGCCAGACTGAATCCACTCCACCGCTTAGTACCCGCAGGACATTAGAAAAGCCACTTACTCTCACACCTCAGTTTTCTCACTTGTGAAATGGGACTAATAACAGTCTGTAGCTCATACAGTTGCTGTGAGAATTACCTAAGATCACGCAGGTGACAAGATGTGCATAGGGCCCGATGCCGAGTGAGAGCTGAGTAAGTAAATGTAGCTGTGATTACTGTTAGTTAGAGACTCATATTTCTATTGTTCTATCTGAAGACTTTATCTCATTTAAGCCTCAACATTCTCATGAGGGAAGCAGAATTGGGGTGATTACACCCAGGCTGCAGACAAGGCTATCAACACCCTGTGAAGTAAAGTGGCAGTGCCAAGGCCACACAGCAGGAGAGAGTGCAGAGAGATTGAATGGGGGGGGGGGCAAGTCACAGAAAGAGACAGACACACAAATTAGGTCAGTTGGCAGGGGGCCAGGAGACCAGTGCGGGCTGGCCCCAGAGCCCAGCACCCCTGCACAGTGCTAAAGCTAAGAATAAAATCAAGTGTAATTAGTTCTGCCTGAGCTTCCTTCCCCTAATTAGCCAAGCTCCAGCTCTACTCTCTTGCTGCGCAGAGGTGAGGTAAGCAGGGTTCAAGAGCCCAGTTTTAGAGTCAGACAATCTTGAGTTCGAGTCCCAGCTCTATCTTCTACCCTGCTTTTCTCCATATTAATATATCCACATCAATAGCACGCACACACATATAACACACAGCATGCATAGAAAATTAATGCTTGAAAGGGCTTAATGGTATGCAAAAAAACTTACACTGCTCATGTTAGTTGTATAATAATGTGGTACTTGCTGGGTGACTTTGGGCAAGTTACTTAATCTCTCTGAGCCTCTGTTTTGGTTAAGTGAAGACAATAAAGATGTATCTCATCAAGCTATTGTCAGAATCAAGTGAAATAATGCAGAGAAAGTCCTTGTGCTGCTCAGTATTATGGACTGCCAAAAGAACTAACCAATCTGTCCTGGAAGAAGTGCAGCTGGAATGCTCCTTGGAAGTGAGAATGGCCAGACTTCGTCTCACCTACTTTGGTCACATTGTCAGAAAGGACCACTCCCTGGAGAAGGATATCATGCTTGGTAAAGTGGAGGGTCAACGAGAAAGGGGAAGGGCCTCAACGAGATGGATTGACACAGTGGCTGCAACGATGGGCTCAGGTGTGGCAAGGATTGTGAGGCTGGCACAGGACCAGGCAGTGTTTCATTCTGTTGTACAGGGGAGCCAACTCGACAGCACCTAACAACAACAACAAACATTATCCTGGCCCATGTTTCCCACCCCAGGTCTCAAATTTAAGGCTAAACCAGATCTAGAAGATGATGGACTTCAAATCATCCCCTCTAACCTCAACAGCAGTGATTTTTTTTTTTTTTTTTTTAACTGAGGTGGAAACTGATGCCCAAAGATACTGCACTATCCCACCAAGTAGCACTCAGAGAGGTTTACTGAATGTTCCAAAGACACACAGCAACTTGATGACCAGCTCCTAGAAGTGGGGTCAGGGAAGGAAGGGGTCTCGGCAGAGCCCTGTGAATCCTTGCAGGTCCTGTCCCTGCCAGGCCTGTCCCCAAAAGGCCCTCTATCCTGTGAGAACTCAGTGCCCCTTATGCTCACCAGTTCTACCCCGGAGACTCAGAGCGTCACTGCAGGAATGTGGGCGGGGGCCAGGATCTGGGCAGCAGGACAGAGAGGAGGTTGCACAATGGAGAGCCTGACCCAGAGGGGATGCTTGAGCCCCCCCACCCATCCACAGCTGCCTGGCTGGGAGCCCAGCACCCCTGACATTCACTGTGAAGGAGGTAAGGGGCATGCAGGCTGCACCTGCGGCGGGGAAGGGCCACAGAGCAAAGTTCCAGAGAGGAGAGGGGTCTTGGGGAGGAATGGGGTAATGAGGGGCAGGGAAGGCCCTACTGAACTTGACACATCCCCATTTTGTTGTTCTTAGTTACCGTGAAGTCACTTCCGACTCACGGTGCCCCTGTTTGCACAGCAGAATTGTTCCCTGGGGTTTTCAAGGCTGTACCCTTTCCAAAGCACATCACCGGGCCTATCTTCCAAGACACTTCTCAAAAAAAAAAAAAAAAACCTGCCGTGGAGTCTATTCTGAGTCATAGTGACCCCCACTGGGTTTCCAAGGTGGTAAATCTTGACAGAAGTAGATTGCCCCATCTTCCTTCTGTGGAGCGGCTGGTGGGTTTGAACCACCAACCTTCTGGCTAGCAGTCAAATGCCTTAGGCACTATGCCACCAGATCTCCTTAAGGCACCTCTTGTTGTTGTTGTTGTTGTTATGTGCCGTCGAGTCGGCCCCGACTCATAGCGACCCCTCCTTGGGTTTCCGAGGCAGTATCACTACGGAAGTAGGATTGCCCAACCTTCCTTCCGAGGAGTGGCTGGTGGGTTTGAACCGCCAGCCTTCTGGTTAGCAGTCAAGTGCTTTAGCCACTATGCTACCAGAGCTCCTCTAGATGGATTCAAAATGCTAACTTTTTGGCCAGCAGTGAAGGGCTTAACCATCTGTACCACCCAGAACTCCTACCCCCAAAAAAATTCAGCAAGCCCAGATGCACACTTGTCCCCAACAGCTCCTCCCACTTGTCCACACTCATCCCTACACACTCAAGCCCCCCCTACTATCCTTATTTCCCCTTGCTTTCCCCAAAGGCAGTTCAGAGGGCAGGACCCCCATCTGGGCCTAACCCAACCCGCCCAACTGCTCTGCAAAGCACATCCTGACACCAGAGCCCTCCACCTCATTCCTGTTTCCACCATCAGCTCCAGCCCTGCTCCTCCATCACCATCCCCACTTCCTCCACCATCCCCACATCCCCTTTGCCCACTGCCTGCACCTGCCCCCATCCACAGGCTCTCCTGAGCACAATGGGAAAGCAGGCAGCATCCCCAGCCTTAGCCTCAGACCTTAGCCTCGGACACCAGGAACAAGTCCCATCACCCTTTTCTGCATTCCCTTCTTTCTGTTTGTAAAACGGGAAAAAAAAAAAAAATCCAGGCTGGATGATCTAAGAGCCTCTGACTGTGACCCTCAGGCATTCTAAGAATCTAGCCTTGGGATCAAAGAGATCTAGGGCAGTGTCATTCATAACAGGGAAACAGTGGGAGTAACCTACATATCCAACAACAGGGGACTAGTTAAATACATTAAGGCACAATCACGACATGGAAAGTTACGCAGCTGCCGACAATGGTGTTTTCACAAATCCACACTGTCTAATTGGGCCATTAAAAAGCATAAATGCAGCACAGAAAGTTTTTTGGTTTTTTACTTGTTTCAAAGAAGCAGGGATATGAATGTCTCTTTAAGGGTATGGGAAAAGGTCTACATTGATCAAGAGACTGACACAATGTGGGCTGTGGACAGGATCCTGCAAAGGTTCTACCTCTCAGGTCCTGCGTGCCCTGGGCCCAGGTCTCACCTCTCCAGCCTGGTTTTCCTGGTAAAACAAAGACAATAACCTGTACCTCGAGGGTTTCGCTGCAGGAATGCTCAATAGAGGTTGTCGCTTAATACTATTACCACCGTGATTAAAAAATAGATGTGGAGATTGATCCCATGTTAATGAACTCACTTCCAAAGTGAATTTCTAAGCACTGAATTATATTACAGGTTCCCAGAAGTGCTCTCTGACTGGTGGGATTGTGGGCAGCTTGGATTTTTCTGTATTTTCCAAATTTTCTACAATGTACTCAGAGCACTTTCATTATAAGGAGTTAACAGGTCCTTTCAGAGTCCCCATCCCCGCCACTCTCTAGTCTGTGA